TAGAGACGGGGTTTCACCATGTTGACCAGGATGGTCTCGATCTGTTGACCTTGTGATCCACCCGCCTTGGCCTCCCAAAGTGCTGGGATTACAGGCTTGAGCCACCGCGCCCGGCCGCTATTTATTTTTTTAAAGACGGGGTTTCACTGTGTTGGTCAGGCTGGTCTTGACCTACCAACTTCAGGTGATCTGCCAGCCTTGGCCTCCAAAGTGCTTAGATTACAGGAGTGAGCCACCATGCCCGGCCTGCCAATGGAGATTATATTCTTTTATTTATTTGTTTATATTTATTTATTTATTTACTTGAGATGGAGTTTCCCTATTGTTGCCCAGGGTGGAGTGCAATGGCCAGATTTTGGCTCACTGCAACGTCCACCTCACAGGTTCAAGCGATTCTTCTACCTCACCCTTCTAAGTAGCTGGAATTACAAGCATGTGCCACCATGCCCAGCTAATTTTTTGTATTTTTAGTAGAGACGGGATTTCTCTTTGTTGATCAGGCTGGTCTCAAACTCCTGATCTCAGGTGATCCTCCTGCCTTGGCCTCCCAAAGTGCTGAGATTACAGGCATGAGCCACTGCGCCCTGCCTTTTTTATATATATAAATTTTTTGAGACAGAGTCTTGTGCTGTTGCCAGGCTGGAGTGCAGTGGCATGATCTCAGCTCACTGCAACCTCCACCCCCACAGGTTCAAGCAATTCTCCTGCCTCAGCCTTCCAAATAGCTGGGGTTACAGGCACGTGCCACCACGCCCAACTAATTTTTTTTTTTTTTTTGAGCTGGAGTTTCACTCTTGTTACCCAGGCTGGAGTGCAATGGCATGATCTCGGCTCACCGCAACCTCCGCCTCCTGGGTTCAGGCAATTCTCCTGCCTCAACCTCCCGAGTAGCTGGGATTACAGGCACACGCCACCATGCCCAGCTAATGTTTTGTATTTTTAGTAGAGACGGGGTTTCACCATGTTGACCAGGATGGTCTCGATCTCTTGACCTCGTGATCCACCCGCCTCGGCCTCCCAAAGTGCTGGGATTACAAGCTTGAGCCACCGCGCCCGGCCGCCTGGCTGTATTTTTAATAAAGATGGGGTTTCGCTATGTTGGCCAGGAAGGTCCCTATCTCTTGACCTGGTGTTCCGCCCACCTCCAAAGCCCTAGGATTACATACAGGCCTAAAGTTATATATATATATATATATTTTTTTTTTTAGACAAAATCTTACTTTGTTGCCCAAGCTGGAGTGCAGCTCACTGCAACCTCTGCCTCCTGGGTTCAAGCGATTCTCCTGCCTCTGCCTCCTGAGTAGCTGGGACTACAGGTGTGTACCACCATGGCCTGCTAATTTTTTTGTTTGTTTGTTTTTCTTTTTTTTTTTTAGAGATGGGGTTTCACCATGTTAGCCAGGATGGTCTTGATCTCCTGACCTGGTGATCTGCCTACCTCGGCCTCCCAAAGTGCTGGGATTACAGGCATGAGCCACCATGCCTGGCCAATAAATGTGGTTTTTAATATCATCTACATGCTGATGACTCTCAAATTTGTTTCTCCAAGATAATTCTCTTTACCAAACTTGAAATTGTCCCAGACTTGGCCAGTGGAAGGTACTTATCCTTTTTTTTTTTTTTTTTTTTTGCACGTAGCTGACCAGCCTACCAGGTCTTTTATGCAGTTCAACATACACAGTGACACCAAGGTAAGACAAATAAAGTTCCACTTTGGGAGCCTCCATCTCCCTCCCCTGGATCCTGATCCAGTGACTGTCAAAGCCAGAAAGAACTGGGGTAGGGTGCTTGATCATGGGGAAGGCTGTTGTGGTTCGCCCGGCAGATGGGAAAGGGGGAGGCTTTCACTTCTTCACAATTTGAATGACATCCTCGTCCTCCCACGTATGGTCTTTACCCACTTTCTGAGGATTGTGTTTTATAGAGAGATCCCAGACCGGAGCATATTTAAATTCTTTGATAAGATTTTTGTAAATCTTCATGCAGAAATCCTCCATTGTGGTCCTAGAGTAAGGAAGCACCACTGGGGATGTGTAATCTGGTAACTGGCCTTTGGGTTTGGTGTAAATTCTCACTAGTTTCAGATAGTCCCAGATCTTTTCCAATAGGTCATCAAAATTCCAACGGTGATGGGCAGAGATGGGTACACAGTGAGGCACCTTATAGATGATATCCAATTCCTCAATGGCAATCTGGTCAATCTTATTTAACACAGAGATACAGGGGATATAAACTCTGTTTCCTTCCACCACATCAATGAGGTCATCAGCTGTAGCATCACTACGTAGAGTCACATCAGCATTATGAATCTTGTATTCGGCCAGAATGCTTTTCACAGTTTCAGCATCCAGTTCACTCTGGGGGCAAGTGGCTGTGAGATTAATGCCTCCCTTGTCCTTCTTCTTAAAGCCAATGTTGGGGGGTTTGCTGTTCAAGCAAATGCCAAAGCCTTCCAGTTCATTTTCAATTATCTTCTTTTTTTTTTTTTTTTTTTTTTTTTTTTTTTTTTT